TTCAACAATCCCCTTCTCATTCTCCTGGACCAACATCAAGGATCTTCATTCCCTTACATAGCCTTTAGAAACTATCTTTTGCCAGAGATGTAATGAGGATATCTGCAATCATCACCTCAGTGTTGCAATATTCCAGTTGGAAAAGTCCACTTTTGCACATCTCTTGCACTTTGTGAAATGCAATGTCAATGTCCTTCTTAAGTGGCTTTTTTAAAAAACAGATCCATTGTAGTCAGGTACATTTGCATTTTCCATGACCACATTTTATAATTGTTCCAGTTAGTATTTCACTGATCATTGTGAAACTAGAATTTGTTGAAGCCATTTTCTATTGTTTGAATAGAAAAAAAATTCTTGAAGTAAATATCTTCAGGAAAAGCACTTTAAAAAATAATCTGGAACCTCTTCTGAGACCTCACTATGTCTAAACTGGGACCCCTTCTGTGACTCCACTGGTAGCTCACTGGGTCCCTGCTGGGCCCATAACCCACAAAGGTGGGGTGCAATTTTAGTTTCCAGGGTGTTAATCCTTTTAAAGATAAACTAAAATATGCAGGTGTGAAAGTTAAACTTGTTAGAGTTCACTTTCATCAGCAGAGCAGCAAAAACGTGAGTCAGACTATTACTTTAAATCGGTCTTCCTAAAGAATAAAGACAAACATGTAGTTTGTGTTTAAAGCAAACAATAATGGCTTTAATAAATATTTACACAACAAACTAAAACCTAATCTAACTGGAGTTTATAAAGCAGGAAGAGAGATGTTAACCTCCCTCAGAGAGGACTGTGACAGACAGCTGACTGACTGCTTACTGTCTGCTAACTGACTGAGACTGACAGTTTAGAACAGGGGTCCTCAAACTAAGGCAAGCAGGCCACATGCGGCCCACCGAGGACATTTATCTGGCCCGCCAGGTGTTTTTGCTGCCGCTGCCTGTCCTGCTTAGCAGCCAACTTGTCCCAGGCCCGCAGTGTGCATGTCTGGCCCTCCAGTGGTCTAAGGAACAGTGAACTAGCCCCCTGTTTAAAAAGTTTGAGGACCCCTGGTTTAGAATGTTCAGAAAGTCAGTTAAACTGCCACTTAAGATTGACAGTTCGAATGAGAGGAGAGGAGGGGTGAAGTCCTGCCTAACAGGAGAACAGGAGAATGCAAAACATTTTTCCTCCAATAGTATCTCACTCAGCTTGTGCTTAAATCAGGAACTTCTATAAGGTTAGGAACTTGTCATCATTAGGGGCCAAGATTTCCACAGTCCGGTACTCATACAGTCAACCCTCCATATCCATGGATTCTGCACCACAGACTCAGTCACCCAGAGCTTGAAAATATTCAAAAAATAATTCCAAAAAAACAAGCCATGATTTTGCCATTTTATATACGGGACACTATTTTATCATGCCATTGTATATAATGGGACTCGAGTGGCCACAGAGTTTGGTATCCATGGGGTGTGTGTGTGTGTGTCTTGGAGCCAAACCCCAGCAGATACCAACAGCCCACTGCATTTCAAAGGGTTTTAAAATCTCTACTGCCTTCCAGAGTAGGAAGGGTAGTGAAAGCTACAATGAAATGAACTGGGCTTAAACACTCAGGTCTAACACCAGTTATTACTGACTCCCATTGAATGGTAAGACAACATATATGTAAATCTCATTAATTCAGTGGGACTAGTCTAGCTGGCACTAGTGATTAGAGCTAGACAATTATTTCCTAGTAAATATTCAATTGAATGAGGAAAAATGGGAAAATAACATTTTAGTTTTTAGTTTTTGGGTTCCCCTCATCCAATAAATGTCTATTTTGTAAATTCACCTGATCCGCTGTCAATAGAGTAATTCTGGCTGCATGAAGTCAGGGTGGTCTAGCGGCTTGCATATTAGACTACAACTCTGGAGATCAGGGTTCGATTTCCCACTCAGGCATCACTGGGTGGCCTTGGGCAAGTCACACTCTCAGCTTCAGAGAATTGCAATGGCAATTCCCCTCTGAAGAAACCTGCCAAGAAAACCCTATGATAGGTACACCCTATGGTCATCAGTAGTAAGAAATGACTTGGAGGCACACAACAACAACATTTGTACTACGAACCAAAAGGATCCCAAATGGTGGTGTCATTTTGAGGAGGCAATACCAGTCTTGATGCTTGTTCCTTCTTTTAGAAAACATTTTACTACAGTAAAATATACTATTGAATTATCATAATGTATGCCAAGGAGATACATTTTTAACCAAAAAACTTGCTTTAAGCAGGCTATCATTTGAAAGATGTTCAGTTATAATTGTATTGGATAAATTACCTCCTGGCCAAATCAAGCCAGACAAATGGTGATAATCTTTAAAATACTGTCATCATGGGGTGGGGACTAAATCCATACCTGCAAAATAATTCAGCTCCAGTATGTAGTATCCAGCCCCAGTTTTGCCTCTTTAGCACCACACTCCCCTTTTCTAATCCAATGAATCAGATTATATTTGGTCATATGGCCCCATGGCTCTGGGGTTTTTGTTTTGTTTTGTCTTCCTAGCATGCATGCAGATATGCAGATATTTGCATAATCTTAAACAAACCAATAGCCTTTCTTGTAACACGCACCTGCACTCCCATTGGATGGTGTGTATATCTGGGAATGTACATACCTATTTGGGCAGTTACTGTAGCCCATAATAATAATAATAATAATAATAATAAT